TCGAATCCACCATTTTGTAGTTAAGGAATCTGCCCACAACGACTTTCATCATTCCGGCATCATCCGTCTTGTACTTTTTATCAAAGGATTCTCACAACTCTTTAGTCGTTTTGATTGAACTATACACATTATATAATGTGTTATCAAATCCATTGAGGATATAGTTTTTGCATAGAAAATCAGAATGTTTCCATGCATCTACCACATCAACAACTTGGTGGTCAGTCTCATTCTCACTACAAACAAGAGCATCCTCAAGAAGAAATTTTGCAAGGTTTAACGTAGTGAAATAAAATAACATTTTCTATTGTCATATCTTGAAATCGTTCCCATAGAACTTTTCGGGTTTCTCTCCAGGAGACACATGAGTAGGAACATATATAGGTATCACAGACATAACATGATTTGTAGTAGTAGGAACATTAATATCATTTACAACCATTTCTGATCAACAAGGATTATAAACTATTCAATAATAGGAAAATAGTAACACTTTTTAAAGCAAGTTATTAAAATAGAGACAATTTATGTTATTGTTCTGTGTCATTGTTTTGAAGTTACTATTTTAATGTTTTTGTATGGTGTCACTGTTTGATGTAACTATTTAAATCAGAGTCACTGTGTTGGTGTAACTATTTAAATTAAATACATAAATAAAACATGCAATTTTTTCACCAAATGTTCACGTCTCTTTAAAATATCACAGATTGTAAACAAAGTAGGTTTTAATAATTTGTAATATTTTTAGAACAATTTAAAATATTAAAACATGTATCAGAACGTCAACAAGCAATTATACAAACACAAAATCTGTCTTAAGATTGTTGGTTGTTTGGTGTTCCAAATATTGTAAACTTACTTATTGAAATTTATGATTTGAACCATGTAAAGAGTTACACAGAACCAGTCTTACACGAAAGAGTTACACAAAAGAGTTACAACAGTCTTACAAAATAGTAACAGTAAACAGTTACACAGAAACGAAAGAGTTACACGTAACTTTTTGTCAAACTAATATAAATACCAACTCGGTTGCAGAACAGAAACTGTTATTGAACTTGATGTAGATCAAAGCTAGTGTTTGACACTATGTCCTTAAGACAGATTTCGCCTCCACACACGGTGCTTATGGAATATTGAGCGTCTGTCTCCCAGGATACAATGATCTTTACACCAGCAGAAATAACACTTCAATCTATTCGTCCAGTGAACCAAAATTTGTGTTGTATACTCTCCAAATGCAGACTGCCTTAAGGCCGAAAATGCTATACTCTAATGCCTGGCTTAATGCCGAAGGTGGACTAATAAATGAATTAAATGAATGGTAATGAGACTAGGTATTTATAGACACTTTGCTGACTTTCAACAATCACCATACTAAAAGACACAATTCATAAGATGAAATGCAACAGCTAAAAGACACATTGAGTAACTATTCTGGACTCAAATTTCGGATTAGAGGGAAGCAACAAATTCGAACCAGTGTGATCTAAAGGGTGCTAAAAATTAAATTTCGGTTTAGAAATTCTCGCCCAATTAATTAAATGAATTATCTTCAAAAAGATAGGGATTGGTCTAAACCACACCCCCACCTGAGCCCGGTCGGGTCGTGACGTGGCGCGCGTGTGTGGTCGAACCGAAGGCATATAGGTGCTCATTTCGCTTATAAAACTGTGGTACCCCTTGGGGCCCAATCCCATAGAACAAATTTGGCCTATATATACCCATGTTTAGTTTCTTCCTCAACCAATGTGGGATTGGTGTCAAATCCCACATTGCATAACCTTTATTTCCACATCTCAAAACGGTCACTTTAGAGTTTATGTTCTCATTCATTTCTAACTCGATTTGAGCAAACGAATATACTAAATTATTCTCCTCATAGAGTAGAATATGAACACAAAAAAATTTATTCAAAATAACAATTGGATTCCATTTTAATTTAGACTCAAAGTCGACCAAAATTTAGTATTTTTACACTTAAAAATCTATTTTGGTCCAACAGACATAACGCGGCTTAGATAATATGACACATACCCCACTTTAATATGACCCATTACTTTGCATAACCCTATCTATAAGATAACATAAGATGCTGATAAAAATTTTATATATAAAATAAGATGGACTTTAATAAGCATATTCGACGATTTCAAATAAACTCATTTAACAACCATCAACATACCTCTCAAAATTATTCATATTACATCGTGCATTTAAATAAGAGGCACCAGAGTTTAGTTATAAGGAAGAACATCGACTCAGAGTTTTGTCCATTTCTCTGACTTTCTAGCAAAAAAGTTGGCAACATCGACTCACACTCGTGGCATTGAGTGTAGAGCAATCCTGTAGTTGCAGTCTTTGAATTAATTACGAATTTAATATTGGACAAAATTTATTTTTAATTCAACAATTATAATTAATTAGATCTCTAAATTAAGCATAAATAATAATTTTCTTGAGAATACGTCAATTGTACACCATAATCACTTGTCTTTGTCTACCATTTTGTAATTTTTATTTTAATATGGTTCTATCTAATTTATTTTTAAATTATGGTTATTTTTATGATAACAAAATTAAAAGGTATGTTTTTCAAGCGTACTTGTAAAACCTATTTTCAAATTTTTTTTATTAAAAATGTATTCCGAAAATGCAACTACATTAAAAAGCATAATTTTGAACCACACTTTTTTAAAAATAAGGGTAATTTAGAACTAATTAAAAATTATGGTATTAAAATAAAGAGCTAAAAATTGCAGTAAATTAGTGAAAACTCCTCTACTTAAAGCATTTAAATCAAGAAAAGGAGTTACGGAAAAGGAAAATATTTAATCGCATAATTGGTCAGTAAGGAATAAATTAGGAAAGGACAGATAAGGAATTAGTAAATATTCTTTCCTTGCATGAAAAACTCGAAAGCTCTTGGGGTGGTCACTTTGCCATAAATTATATTCCCATTATCTTGCTCTTCCTACACTCAATTCCTCTTTCTGTCACTTTACCCAGAAAGTGACAGAAAAATCACACAGGAAACAAGTTTTACAGTGAGAGAAAACATGATGGGGGACTGTAAGAAAAGGGTATGTACATGGTGTTCTTCACTTTCATCGTCGTTAAAGCTTCTGTGTTTGATAGTACCATTGTTTGTATTGTCTGGCTTTTTGGCTTTAATGGGTCCAAAGTCTTCCTATTGGGTTTTTAACTCTCAAAACACAACGGCATATGTGAGAGATGCTTCTCTGTTAGATGACTCCATTGCTAATCCTCGTCCTTCTCCACCTCTTGTCATGGAAACCCTAGAGATTGATAAACCAGTAAGTCCTCTCTCTCTCTCTCTCTCTGTCACACACACACACACACAGAGAGAATATATATGGTTATTTGGATGCATAGAAAAGTGGGTGTGTGTAATAATTGAAACAGTTCATGTTCTTCTTGATTCTTTCTTTTTTTCTCTTTTCCTTAGTTGGTATTCTTCTTCTTGATTCATCTATGTATGAAATATTACCCCTATGTTTTATTTTTTTTTTACTTTCTTCCTAAATATTGTGACTGCATAAAAATTGTTAGCGTTTTTTGTCGATTTTATATGTTTTAGTCAGAATTTCACCGATATTTTTGTATGGGGATTACCTTCCTTAATTGTCAAGAAAGTGAAATCGGAAAAAATAGGAAAGAAAAATAGGGTTTATCATCAGTTGTACTTAATTTAGGTATTTAATTTAAAATTTAACAGTTGTTAGATCGAAGGTAATTTTTATAACGTTAAAATTCACAACTAATCCAATGACATTATTGCACTAAAGAGCCACTTAGGTTATCAAGGTTGTTACCGATGACACCTTGCAAGTAGGAGAGAATCTTAAATTTCTTGAGCCATGATGTTTTTAGAAAGCTGTGGAGTGGAATGTCATCATTGTTAGTGTGTATGCATTAAAAATCACAAATGCAAGATATGCTACATTCTCCTCATTTGGTTCTCCAACTGGCAATTTATTGCTATGAGTTGGTTTTTTTCTTGTGGATTGCTACGAGTTGTTAGTCTATCTATTTTTCATCTACACATGCAAAAATCAATAAATATTAGGTTCTCAATATATACATGGGACCTATGGTCTTGCCTTAGATTCTTGCTAGACTAATTAACTCTTAATGATTTGGGTCTCATTAGAGTAATCCTGTCTCATAAGGTTTTTTTTTTTTTTCTGAGAACTTATAACTGTACTAGTTATTGCTTGTGTCTAAAGGTACAGAGTAATAAAAAATAAAAATAAAAAATAATAAACATATTTGTATTCATATCTAAAATCAAATCACAAATATAAAAGAATTTAAACATCGATTTGTAGTGGGGGTGAGAGGTGGTGGGCGATAGTAGTGGTGATAGGAGATGGTGATGGTTGTGGTGGGTGGCAATGACGGTGGCGATGGAGGCGACGACGACTGTGATGGTGGTGGTGATGATGGGGCAGTGTGGCGGCGATGGCTGTGGTGGCGGTGGTGGGTAGTGGTGGAGGTGGTGATGAAGGTGGTGGTGGTGGTGGCGGTAGTGGCGATGGTGGTGGTAGAGTTAGTAGTAGGACGATTTCAAACATTATTTTTTTAAAAAAAATATTTATGAGAAATAATTTCTAGAAGTATTTTTAAAAAATCACTTCAATCACAACTTTATAATACTATTTTTTTTACTAAATTTAGGGTGTTAATATTAATCGTTAGATTAATTTTAAAGTAAAATTTATAAAGACCTCAACCGCGAATAAGAAAAATTATTTTGTTTATTTTTTGAGATTTAAATTTTAAACTACTTTATTATATAGATATAAAATCAGATTGTACTTAACTACTTGCAAAACCATACACATTAAGTAGACTAGGAATTGAGATCATGGGATAATAACCAAATATATTTTTATATCTGAATTACACTAACAGGTTAAATAAATGTGTTTATCATTTGTATCGCTGAGAAATTAATGCACAAGTTGATGGAACAGATAGGGAAGAAGGACAAACCACAGGTTCGTTCTTCTTCCATGGATGAAACTAATCCCATAACTGCAAGATCACCAAAAAAGTACAGCAGTTTAGAGAAGGTTGAAGCTTGTCTGGGACGAGCTCGAGCTGCTATAAGAGAAGCCAAACATGGGAATCAAACACATGACCCAGACTACATCCCTACAGGCCCAATATACTGGAATGCCAGTGCTTTCCACAGGTACCACAGTCACCGTTCATCAATTATCAAGTTTTTGCTGTGTTTGAGGAAGAAATTGTCTAGAGGGGACTTATTGAGTCGATGTTTGGGCATGAATAATGTTATTCTTAGTAACTCTTTTTAACTGATTTATTTGCGGGGTTAGATTAATGAATTCCACCAACACCTGATAATTGTGATTGCGTCACGTCAACGCCGACCCAATCACTAGGCTGTTAAAACCTGGACTTTAGGTTCCACCCAGATGGAAGACACTAAATTTTTGTTTGTATTAATAGCCTATATCAAAGTTTTATATTCATTGCATGTTTAGGCCTAGCAAAAAGACCCTATAAGAATATAATCCAATTAGAAAATTTTAAGCTCAATAAATAAGATTAAGAAGTAGAAATCTATCAATAACTTAATTATATTATTTATTGAGAATGATATACAAAAAAATTGAAATGCCACAATTTAATTTTTATTTCCTCATCTCTAATCGAAAATCAAAAAATATATATTTGAAATGAATGTAATTTAATATTTATTATTATTATTATTAAATATTAATATGGCCTTATTTATAAATTTCGCTTTAAACCCCAATTCCATTGGGCCACCCCTGCACCACGTTAGTTGATGAGAAAAATAAAATTTAACTTAGAGAAATTAGTAAGGATAAGGTTAATAAGCAGCACATTTAGGACTTTCCATGCATTATCGGGAAGGTGTACGATGTTCTAATCATGTTACTGCAAACAAGAATTCCTCCAGACTTCAATTCTTAGTACAAGAAGGGCAAGTGCTTTCTAATTGGGAGAAAATATTAGAAGTGACGGTGATAGTACATTATAAATGTTACATGATATTATCAACTAATAATAAAATACTAAGTGAACTTAGTGAGTTTCGCTGTTTTAATAACTTTTAATAACCATTTTATCTAATAACGGTCATGTTAAAATAGTATAACAATACGAGAAGTAACGGCCTATAAAGCAATTTGGGTCTTTGCCTATTACGAGGCAATTGGAGGATTCTCTTATTTAATACTAGGTTTGAAAAGCACCCTAAATCTCTATGTATTCATGATTACCACTAAGTATCATTCTGTCAAGTAAGACAGAAACTTTCGTAATGTTTCTCAATATTTATTCATCATCAGAGTACATGTATTTATAGTGTAGAGATAATGACTAGTCATAACTAATCGTATCTCTACAACGGTTTCCAAATTGCAGGAGCTATATGGAAATGGAAAAAAGTTTCAAGGTATACGTCTACGAAGAAGGAGAGCCCCCAGTTTTCCACTACGGTCCATGCATGCACACCTATGCAATTGAAGGTTTTTTCATACAGAAAATGGAGGTCAGCTATTTTAGGACCAGAGATCCAGGCAAAGCCCATGTTTATTTTCTTCCATTCAGTGTCACAATGATAACTCAAGTAATATATGTGCCTGAATCCCATGAATGGGGCCTCATGAAAAACACAGCCAAAGACTATGTCGATGTTATTGCTACAAAGTATCCTTATTGGAATCGAAGCCTTGGGGCTGATCACTTCATGCTTGCTTGCCATGATTGGGTAAGCAACCAGTGCTTATTTTTCCTTCTCTTGCTTTGCATTAGAACAAGAATCAGCATGAAACCAGATTTGCTGTCTGTGGTTTTGAATAGGGCTGTTAAACAATCCAAACAACTTGAGTTTGGATCAATTTTGGTTCGTTGAAGCTCATTCCAACTGTAAATTGAACTGAATTTGAGCATACTTCTAATCTTACTTTGTAAATAAGTTAAATCAAATAAACCTGTTGAACGGCTCGAATTGCATAAGTTCTCATCCACGAATAATTCTAATCTTACTATCGAACAGCTATTTTCCGAAAGATAAACTATCCAAGACTTATCCCCAAATAGCTCCATACCTTATGCACCTATCCCTCTCCTTTTTTTAAAGATAATTTGCAATAGTTAAACTTGTGGTTGGATTTGATGGTTGACTATATATGGTCTGAATATTTACAAACTTCTGCATGTTGAGCTTGAACAAAAATTTAAATTTATAAATCAAGATCGAGGTAAATTGAGCATAGTCAAATTCAACAGTCGTATTTCAATTAACATCATTACTCTTACATACATGAGTATTATAATGCTTGTTTAACACTTGTATTCATGTATCTGTCCAAAAACAATTCATGCTATTGTAAAGGGAGTCAACATTTTGCTTTGCAGGGGCCGGAAATTTCATTTGCAATCCCATACCTATACAAAAACTCCATACGAGCTCTATGCAATGCAAACACCTCGGAAAGATTCAACCCATCTAGAGATGTTTCTATCCCAGAAATCCATCTCCCCACCGGCACAACAGAAGGAATGCTAGGCGGCCTGTCCCCCTCGCAACGCTCGGTTTTAGTCTTTTTTGCCGGAGGCCTCCATGGCCCCATTAGGCCAATTCTTTTGGAGCATTGGGAAAATAAGGACGAAGAGATCCAGGTTCACCGCTACCTCCCAAAGGGCGTCTCGTACTACACGATGATGAGAAAGAGCAAATACTGCATTTGTCCGAGTGGTTACGAAGTTGCAAGCCCCAGAATGGTGGAGGGACTCTACATGGGGTGTGTCCCTGTGCTGATCAAGGACAACTATGTAACCCCATTTAGTGATGTTCTTAATTGGAAGACGTTTTCGGTTATTATCCCGGTTAAGGATATTCCTAACCTGAAGAAGATCCTGATGGGTATTCCTCAAAAGCAATACATAAAGATGCAGAGGAGGGGAATGCAAGTGAGAAGGCATTTTGAGGTTAATTCTCCTCCAAAGAGGTTTGATGTGTTCCACATGATTCTTCATTCAATTTGGCTTAGAAGACTCAACATTAGAGTTCATGACTTTCAGTGAATCATTCATCATGACTGGTTGATTTGTATGATTGGGACTTGGATTGGTTCAGTTTGGTAGAGAATAGGAATTTTGGGAAGCTGTGCAGGGAGAACTCATATGTTGATTTATGAATACATTTCATTTTTTTTAACAATTTAGACGAGGAATACAAAAAACAATGAATTTTTTCTTTTTTTTTGTTTGATTAAATCTAAAGGTTAAGACAGAAATATAGTACTACTAGTTATATCTCTTGGACATCATCTTTTAGATGAGTATGAAATAAGTAAATTATACTGAAAAAATTGATAAAACTCAATCATCTAACAGATAATATACATTTAAGTTAAATTATGGACGGAAACTTCACGAAGGGACGAGGAACCTTGACTGCAATCCGTCACGATTGGATATGTGTATAAAGGACTGGGCCTAGAGCCTCGATTATTCTTGGACCTTCAACCTGGTCCAACTAGTAACACTAGCCACCCAATAAGCTCCAGCACTAAAGCCCGACCCGAAATTCCATGTCGGAGTTATAAAGCCCACCGAATACCGACCCACCAGAAACTTCTTCTCTTCTTCTTCCAACGTGTCACTCCCTCTGTGCTACGTGTCCACTAAACACCACAAGTGTCCATCTTGCAACCATCTCCTTCTTTCTACGTGTTTCCATCGCATACCTCAATCCTCCCCATATATTCCTCATCCTCTCTCCATCTCAATATCAAATTGAACTTACAATTTTACCAGAAGATCAGATTTTAGAGAGAGAAAGGTTCTGGTGTTTTAAGTGTTTGTTGAGGGTGTTTTCAGTTCATTTCTGTACGTGTTCTCTTCTGTGTGTATTTCAGTGAGGAGAGAAAGAATAGAAAGAAGCTATGGCGTCGAAGCAAGAAGAAAGAGCCGAGGAAGCTAAAAAGGAATATGAACCAGAAGAGAAGCACGAGGGACAAGAAGAGGGTATTATTGGTGTTCCTGTTCTTGGTGGTATATTGAAGTCAGTTCAGGAAACTCTTGAGCAAGCCAAGGAGGTTGTCACCGGAAAAACCCAAGAGACAGCTGAGAAGACGAAGAAGGGTGTAGAGGCGGCTTCGGAGAAAGCCAGAGAAACCAAAGATAGGGAGGCGGAGAAGGCGGGCGAGACAAAGGATACTGCGGCCGAGAAGTCTAGAGAGACGAAGGAGAAGGCTGAGGAGTATAAGGAGAGAGCAAAGGAAGGAGACAAGTCGGCTATGGGAAAGGTGGGAGAGTGCAAGGATTATGCGGCTGAGAAGGCAAGAGAGGCGGAGGAGAAGGCGAGAGAGGCGGAGGAGTGCGCGGCAGAGAAGGCAAAAGAGTATAAGGAATATGCCGCCGGAAAAGCCGGAGAGTACAAGGACTACACGGCGGAGAAGCTAAAAGAGGCGGCAGAGAAGGCAAGAGAGGCGGCGGACATGGCGGCGGAGAAGACAAAGGAGACCAAGGATTCAGCGGCGGAGAAGGCGAAAGAGACCAAGGATTCAGCAGTGGAGAAGGCTGGTGAGTACAGGGATTACACGGCGGGGAAAGCGGCGGAAGGGAAGGACACCACTGTTGGTAAGATTAGTGAGTTGAAGGAATCTGCGGCTGAAGCTGCTAGAAGAGCTATGGAGTTCTTTACCGGTAAGAAAGAAGAGACAAAGCTGAAGGCAGAGGAGACTGGTGAAGCTGCTAAGGTTTCTCGTTTATAACCTTTGTTCGCTTCGACTACTTTATATCTTATGTATGGGGATTTTTCCAAATATTCAATTTTTGGTTTTTTAAATATTTCTTTAAATAATGGGTGTTTTGACAATTTTATAGTAAGATGATTTCATAAAGAAACAATTAAATATATTTTTATTTTATTACTTGCAAAAAAAACATAAGTTGGATAAATCTAAGTGCACAACCTGGTCCAAACACATTTGGTGGTCGAACCCAAAAAAAAAGATATTAATTATCTAGTGCAATGTTAATACTTTAATGAGTTCAACGAAATTTTTATTGACAATTCAATAGTCATAATCAATCATTTAGTACAATATTGATTGAGAACAATGTGATTCAATATGATAGAACAACTTGGGTGGGTTGTGTATGTAGGAGAAGTTCCAAGAGAATGAGGAAAATGCGAGGAGGAAGATGGAGGAGATGAAAATTAAGAGAGAGGGTTACAAGGAAGAAGAGGATGAAGGCACAGAGAGGGCCGAGGAAGATAAAGAAAGTGCAGGTGAGCAAGGTGGCGGAGACAGGCCCGGAGCAAAGGCCCATGTCATAAGCTTGCACCGTCGCGGCAAGGACTGATCGACTAATTTAAGTAATGGAGAGAGTTTGATGATATATGTAAACAGATACACAATGGTCTGACAGTGCATATGCCTTTTGTTTTAAATTTCTAAGTCATTTCGTATTGTCGTACATTTCATGTTTTGGGAAAGCATAGACGATAGTGCTTGCTTTGGTCGTGTTACTGTTACCTGGGGATAATTCTCGGTTGGTGAAAGTTTCTTGTCTGAGTTGTAGACTCAGAATTTTTGAGTTTATATTTTATCAATTTTTTGGGTTTAGATCATGTAGATTTATTTTCCATCAATACTCTATCTTTATACCAAAGAAGTGACTAATTAAAGTACGTATAAATTAGTTCAAATATTTTTGACTAACTTATTTGAATTTTAGACTCATATTTTTTTAGTTTAAATTTTATTAATTTTATAGGTTTAGATTATGAAGATTTATTTTTTATGAATATTATGGTTTTAGTGTAAATTTGGTTTTACCAAAGTGGAGACAACATCAAGGTATGTATAAATTAATTTGAATATTTTTGACCGTTAAAAAAAGAGGATTTGTTGTTTGTGCGGATTTGATTATGGTATCGTTAAAAGAAAAAATTGGTATTATATTAAAAATTTACTATTTTAAAAGGCATTTTAACAATTTTTGTTAATCAAAAATTTGTTTTTATTACTGTTGTGAGTTTTTTTATCCAATGTGGTAATTATTTTTATTAATTTTCTTAAGTGCAAAAAAAAAATTATCACTTTTGTAGATGATTTATTATATTTTGTGGTTATGTTTATTACATTTGGAGATATTTTCATCACTGTTATAGTTATTTTTATTATTTTTTAAGATATTACAAAAGTGATAAAAATATAGTAAAAATTATTACGAATGTGATATAAATTTTAGTATGATACCAAAATTTTGAATTTTGGTGCCATTGTTAAATTCAAGTTGGGTGGGTGAGTGGAGATTTTAGGGTTTACTGTATCATTTTTGTTGAGTAAATTTTTGGGTGCAACAGTGATAAAGTATTGTTCATTTGTTTTTGTATTGATTTAATTGGATGATGTTATTACATAATAATAATAATAATGTCCATATAGTATCACCCTTTATTTTAATATTTTAGCAAACGAGAGGTCAGTATTGATGACGCTAACCTAATCTCATGTGGAAGAATGGCGTGAATTGTGTCATGACATATAGTAAAGAACAAGTCTAGGTAGAAGATGATACAATTAATAAGCTCTTTGAATTTGATCGATCGAATTTCTTTCTATTTATAATAAATATTTTTTTATAAATTATTTATCCTGCATTTGAAAAAGCTTCTTGTATATTTGTAAGTTCTTCATCCATAACCGTCATATGATCCACCAATAAAAGGTTAAAGAGAAGATGTATTAAGTTTTTTTTTGTAACATGACGATAGTAAAGAGAAAAATGTATTAAGGGTTTTTTTGGCAACAAGACGATAGTACATTTCATAAACACTTTATCATTGAGTGAAATTTAGAAATTGTAATAAAAAAGATCTCAATCCATGACTAATTTGTGCCCTTTGGCAACATGGCGATAGAATATTTCGTAATCACTTTTCTAAATAGTAGTTGGTGTACACGTGCGTTGTACGTAGACCATTTCGAGCATCAAATATTACTCATTGTTGATGTTAAAAATCATGAACTCCAATAAATCATACAAATTCGTCGTATCTTTGTCAACTTTTGTAGATAAGTTTTTGAACTCTTTTGCTAGTTTTTGGTCTAATTTAGGTGATATACATTATTTAGTATTCACGAAAAATAATTAAGTAGATAGTCAATAACCAAGATTTAAAATCAATAGTTCACCAATAAACTCATGATTTGGATAACTCCAACAAAACCAAAAGAAGAATCATCACATGTTGATTTAGATAATTCAAGAACTACTCATCTTCAAGTTTGAATATTTCTAATTTGCTCTTGGACTCTTTCTTGATGCCTTCTTGACGCATCATTTTATCTTGAAAACCTTACTCTGGCTTTATACTCCTTGGAGGAGATATTCCTTACTCTGGCTTTATCGTTTTCTCCGACTATTGCGTGAGTATGTTACGTGGGTGATAATTATTGTTGTTGCACTCTTGTCACAAAATCAATCAAGCATTCTTTCTTTTTTGCCATGGCATAACAGACTTAAATTAACCTAATAATTTAAAAGAGGAATCATGCAACTCAACTTAAGCAGAGTGTTTCTTTAATTGAATTTAGTTATCTATAATCTAAGTTTGTTGTCAGTCCAAACTGCTTGAGTGGTTAGCAATAGCAAAATAAGAATTGTACCCAAAGAGAAGTTTAGTGTTGTTTTATTAACATTTATATGTATTGGAAATTTTGCATAATTTTATCATTACCCACACAATAGAATACAAAAATAACTCTTGACTTATGACAAGTTTTTAGCCAAATAAAATTCAATGTTTTCTGTTAACCAAGATTAACGAAAAATTAATAGTTAATTATAGGAAAATAGAAGTTATATAGAGAACCTCTGTAATAATTTATAATAGCAAAATTAAAGGAAAAGGGAAGCCATGAAAAGAATCTCTCTCTTAAAAGACAAATAAATAACTAATTAGACATCTCAATTGATGTCTCATTCGTAAAATTTCTCATATTGGCTAATTGGTTGAGTTTCTTGATGTCTAAAACATATGAATGTATCCTGGGAAACTCGATCGATTTGACCGAGTTTCGTATGTTACAAATAAATCGAGACAATATCTTTATCTTTGTTTTCTGTTCTCTTTCATTAGTAATTATATGATTTTCTTATCAATATCTACTTGATTTTAAATAATTGGTATTCATTTCAATAAATAATTCCCTCATCAAAGTACAAAGTTTACTTTATAAAAGTACTACAATCACTAACAACCAAATTCACTTTCTTTCTACATAAAAATTCAAATTAGCTTCCATCTAAATAGACTTAATACTACAACTACATATTTTTTCGAAAGGTAATATTACAATTACTTCATTAAGTAGAGAATATAAGAATCGATGTTCAATTTTATTGAGTTGAGAACCTAGAAATCAACTTCCAAGTTTTTTGCCAGGTCTTGTATTTTTTTTCAGCAACTAAATGGAAGTATTGTTCACAGAAAATTAAAAGCTAAAGTATCTACCTGTGCAAGTAGAAAGGCAAGAAATTTTTTTAAATGACAATACATAATGCATAGTTTAGTTTGAGGCATTAACTACTTTACCTTAAGATTATGGTTTAGAAATCTAGTCAAGACATACCTAGTTGGAGATATTTAGATCTGCACTTAGCATACTCACTGAATTGGTTATAAGTAAAATCCAACATTTGGTCATGCATTCAAAATTTGTAGGGAAAAAAAATCAAGAATCAGGTGTGAGAAGAAAAAAGATTACCATTAATTTGTAAACAAAATATATATCTAATACGATACGGACACTGAGATATGACAAAGTTCAAAAATATAAGACGTAAGTATGTCAAAGATACAACTAATTAAAATAATATAATATATTTTTAGACAATAATAAAATTATAATATATTAAAAATAAAGCATATTTTATAATAATATTAATAATAAGATCTAGCAAATATTATTTTTTTTGATTAAAATTAAAATAGATCAAAATAAACATCCATAATTTTCACCAAACATCATTACATACGTTAACATTTATACTACATAAGTTACATAACCAAAAACACACACACACACCCATCATTTAAAAAAAACATTGGTTGTGTTCCACTGAACTCATTATTCAAGATACTTCTAGCTGTGTCGGACACATGTATGGTTGTGTCTAACACTGCCCCGACACCCTCGCAAAATATACATGCTTTCTAGCCTGCAACTAACCCACTATTTCGATTTGTTATTATTATGTGATGTGTTTCACCAGTTAATAGGATATCACAAGCTTCCATTATCCAAAAGTGGCAATCTAGATTATTTTTTTATTGTATTCCTCGTGTGTCGTATGGAACATCTGCCCAAGGAAATAAAGAAAGATAATACATTCATAAACCTAATTGATGTAGACACTACATATACTTTTAAAAAAAAATCAATGTCAGTCTTTTTTAATTATATGCTCAGAAGAAAAAAAAAACATAAAGATTTCAAAATTGTATGTAATCCATAACTACCTTTAGAAACTCATGTGGGCTCACCTGAAGATACAAAAAATGTTAAGTATATACATTTTATGAACAAAAGTCATTGTTAAAGTTTTATTACACCAGGAACAAACATGTCCCTTGAAGTTCCTTGAGTGCAATTCTTTCAAGTGAGCTCTCCAAATCAAAGGATGAGTGTAGATTTGCAATGTAGATAATTTTTAAGGATAAGAAAAAAGTTCTTCAATGGAGTAACTCGCATTAAAGATTTAATTGTAACATTCACAAATTCAGTCTTTCTAATGTTATTGTGTCCCACCTAAAAAAATTGTCGGAGCCATCAGATTATAATTAGCACCAGAGAATAGTGAAATTGGACACTTGATTGTCTAAGTTTATATTCAAAATTGTCCAGAATATAACAATGTGCAACAAGAGTGAAATGTCATAGTAATAGCAACAAATATTAGAACTAGTAAGTGTCCCATACCATTGCCTATTTCTATTAAGCTGCTGAACTTGTGTCCGAGTAAACCTGTACAATAATATCAAAGAAATCGAACGAGGAGTTTAATCAAAATAGGAATATAAACTATTAGCAAATATAAAAAGGGATAAAAAAAAATGCTACATGTAAAAAGTAATTAGAGCTAAATATTAGTGAACCTCGAGTAAAGAACATGTTGAATGTCATCTAATGAATAGTCAATGATTTCATATCTATCAGGAAGGCAATAAACTTTCTATGTTCGAAGATTGTGTAAACCTGGTGTCCTGTTTCAAAGCTATGAGTGTATGCATGAGATTTTTGGCATCTTCCTTGGTAATACTTCCCACAGACCAAACACGCATAAACATTCAAATTTGAAAAAGAAATAGAACAAAATTTCTCGAAATCAAAATCCAAAACTTGCAAACAAAAAACTATAAAAGTCAAATACATTTGCAAATAAAAGCACAAAAAGTCATTACCACCTTATGAATAATGAGATGTGCTCAAAAAGAAATTCAATAAGCTCGTGAAACAGCTTCTGCCTCTTGGAG